CGACTCGTCAGAAAATCGCAGACCTAGGCTGGGAAATTCTGTCACATCCACCATGCTCCCCAGACCTTGCACCCTTCGATTATCACTTGTTTTTACCGTTGCAAATATTTTTACAGGAAAAAAAATTCAAAATTGAAGATGATGTAAATCAAGCACTAGTTGAGTTTTTCGCCTCTAAAAAGAAAATTATTTAAAAAAAAATGGCATTTAAAAAATGCTTTCACGCAGGCAAGAAGTCATAAGTAACGATGGAAAAAATAATTCTACAATAAATATTATTAAATGTCTGAAAATTTTGTTATTTTGTTTCAATTCAAAAATGGACAAAACTTTTCGGTAGACCTAATATTATGTAACTTTATCGTAATTAAAAGAGAAACTATAGTTTTTATAGATTATGAAAGATAGTTTTATAGATTTTGACAAATATTAGATGGCAATGATTGTGTTCATGTATTTAATTAAATTATTAATCACAACGATGTGTTGATACAAATTCTAATTATCTTCAGATTAATAATGCATTCATATGTTATTGTAGATGAAAAAATATCGGTATGAATAATAAAAAACATTTTGATATTTCCACTCTAATACTCAATGTTTTCTTGTTAAGAAAATAAACGAATACTCGTATAATAAAGATTAATGACGATAAATAAATGTCAGAGATGAGTTTTCCTTACTCGAAATATATATTTGATATCCTATTGAAAAACATGTTTGATGAATATTTAAACTTTGAAGAATCTCGAAAGGCGTCGATAAAAAGTCTCGACTACTTGGTTTCCCTTTTCAATTGAGCTTTTTTTTACACATTGTAGAACGAGTCAACGCTTTCGACTTATTTCCCTCTCGAGTCCTCCAAAGTAAAAGAGAAAAAGCAAATGAAAAGAAAAGAAAAGAAAAGTAAAGAAAAGAAATGAAATGAAAAGATGGAGAGAGAGAGAGAGAGAGAGAGAGAGAGAGAGAGAGAGAGAGAGAGAGATAGAATCGTTTGGAATTAACGAAAGGTTTTCTCGAAGCAAAGTTTACTTAGAAAGAAGTTTTCGGTTGGTGTTCTCAACCCTCTCGAACGTTAATCATCGTTCTTGGGAATAGTGATGGTGGTGGTGGTGGTGGTGATGGGGAAAACGATTTACATTCTACAACGTGTTTTCTAGCGGTGCTAATCAGTTTGAGTGCCTTCTCGTTTTCCTAGCGCGTTGATTAATCGAGATTCCCGGTGATTCATTAGTTCGACCTCGAAAGCCAATTGGAAAACACCGAATTCAAAAGAGGGGCCAAACTCGATACGATTGTCGATATATCGATTTGTATTAAATCATGTGAAATAGTACGTTCACAATCGGGTTTTATTTATTAATCGATACATATATTATATTTTTTGTGTTTGTTCATATATAATCATTTATGAAGAAGATTTTATTTATTTATCTTTTTGTGATTGAATAATAAACAAATATTCTTGTTTAATTGGTAAGA